TATGAAAAGGACCGCCAGCTATACCACTGACTTGCAGCGGCAGCAACAGTAGTAGAGTCAGCATGCGGTTACCGTTCAGAGTAATTAGTCCGAATATTAATCCTTGATACAGGAGGAAGATGAATGGGAACGTGCCACCCGGGAAGAAGGACCAAGCAATGGGTGCAATTTGCATATTAATTGGTGGGGCCGTGATTGGGCTGCTGCTGGTGAGAACCTACACGGTAAGAAAAAAAGACCCAACGGAAAGTTCACTTTCACTTACTTTTGACTAGTTTGTCTCCTTTTCTCCTTCTGATGTTGTCAAAAACAAAGGAGCCAAACCACCCAATATGGGCAGGGTGCCTTCCATTCATTTTGACTAAAAAAAATGTTTTAAGAAATTCTGGAATAATAAGATGTAAACAACAAGAAAAGATTGTTAAGTTTGTGTTTGACACATAATACCTGCCAATTTTGCTACATGAGAGTCGCAATAAGCGATTTTGTAATTTATCTCACCCACTCTTCGCTCTCCACTCTTCGTGAAGAGGCCATCAGAAAAATGCTCATTGTGACTTTGTCAAAGCTAAATTTGCAGATTTGATGTGTAAAACACAAACTCTACAATCTTTTCTTAATGCTTACACATACAAAATATCGTCACAATATCCTATTATTCCATAATTTCATAAAACATTTTTTTAGTCAAAATGAATGGAAGGTACCCTGAACATGGGTAGTAAAGTTTGGGAACCCAACGTTGCGTATAATCATGTTTACCTACTTTTGGGTACAACTAACTTACTTTTGGGTAGAAAGCTAGTGGAAAATTCCATACGAATTGCACACAAGTATATGAAAACTACTTTGACCCGCTTCACCTACTTTTGGGTTCCTACACTATAGTGCCGAGTTGAGTGAAAATAACATACTTTTGGATACTTTTTTCTAACCGTGTAGGATTTGCAATCAGGAACTGTTCCGTTGCGACTGTCTTGCTTTATTTGCAAGACATCTTTACATTTTTTAGCATCTGCTCTGCCTGATGCTGCTGCAGTCGCGGATCCCAACCGGTTTCGTATTTCGTTTTCTTCAGATTGGAGGTTTTCAATCCAGATCCAGAATGTTTATCTTCCCCAGCAGGACGGTACTGGGCGATCTTGGATCGATCTTTTTCATCCCGATTTCCGATTTTTCGGATCGATTCTTTGTCCATGAAAAATTGAAAAGATCGATTTTTTCATTCGATCTTTTCGGTCTTCAAAAAAAATAGGTGGTAATTTTACATTTTACATTTACATCGTAAAAAAAAACAATTTACTCTCACCCTAGACTGCGTGTACATTAAACGAACATAACATAAACATCACCATCGCTCCCTATGTGTTATTAACACTGTGTAACACACAGCTGTAACGATGAGCGAGCAATCAGCGATTATAAAATCGCTAGTTGTGACCGTGTGAAAGCAAATTTGACAAATTTTATATGTCATATACAAACTTTACAACCTCTTCTTGCATCTTACAAATAAAAATGATCATCATAGTATCCCATTGTTTCATAATACCAAAAAATAGCATTTTAGCTGTAATGAGCAATTGCAAGCCTGGTTCTTGGTAGTGATCCGACTGGAACAAGGCGAAGATGTGCGCAACGAACAAGAAGGATCGATCAGATTGAAGGCGGCTTACCTAGTGAGTAGCCAAACAAGAATGATGTTCGATGAAATCCGTTTTCAACAACTGAAACCGGTTGATCCGATTTCAAGGAGCTGGCATGCCGTACTGGTCCTACCAATTTATGTAAAAATTATGTAAAAGAACAAGGTGACATTCTACAACATAATAAAACCTATAGGCACAGACAAACAGACATAACACATTGAATATTTCTCACTGTAAAACATCGTCGCTAAAACATTACCGACATCTGTTGAGTACACTGTGGTGGGCACTACACTGAACAGATGGCGGTAGTGTGTAAACGTCTAACGCAAGCGAATTGACTATGCGCGCCACAGGTGGCGGTACTACCAACTACGATACATTTAAATTGTCCGTTAAATGCTTGTTCAATGAACAACTTGCGAGTGTTATATCTGTTTGTCTGTGCTATAGGTATAGGTATAGCAGGTATCCATACCCAAATGAATTTGCAATTATCGAAAAATAAATATACACTGAAAGCCCCCGTATTTAAATAAGGCCCGTGATCTTGCCTGCTGTCAAACATATAGGATTGATATGATGTTGCCAGTCCCCTGCATAAATGCGATGACCGATTCTCTTCGTCGATTTTCTCTTTTGTTAATAACTCGCTAGAATTCTAGATAAACATTTCAAAAGGTCCTATCTGCATTGGCCCAAATGGCTACCTTGGGGAACACCAGAGGGTATCTCGAAACTAGGCGAATTAACACCGTTAATGCTCACATAGGCTGAGCGGTCAGTTAAGTAAGACTGTATACACTTCGTGGCCCAATTAGGTAATCCCATACACCTCATTTTGTCCACTGCAAGCACATGTGGAACCCTATCGAACGCCTTACTGAAGTCCACGTAGATTGCATAAACTTGTCGTCGTTTTTCAATGGAGTTGATCAGCGAGTTGACAAACACCATTAAGTTGGTTGTTGTAGAGCGTTTCCTCACGAAGCCGTGCTGATGTTCGGTAATTATTGGCCTAACCGCTTGATATACGACCTCATATACGATCTTCTCCAGAGCTTTTGGGAGGCAGCTTAGAATCGAAATTCCGCGATAATTTTCAACGTTGTGGATGTTTCCAACTTTCTGAATAGGTGTGATGGACGCAACCCTCCACTATGTGGGGAAAACACCACTAACTAGCGAACGATTGAAGATAATCGACACAGGTGAAGCGAGAGATGCAGAAAATTTCTTAATGAACGATGGCGGCAAACAGTCTGGACCAGGGCCTTTAGAAGGATCTACAGATGAAAGAACTTTCATCACCTCTTCAACAGATACATCCAACTGCGGTAATAAAAATGATTGCACATGTGACAAAAGTTATACTGTCATGAAGTGACTGTCATACTTATTTGATCGAACTTGGTACTATGAGCATGAGCATGATTTGTAAAATAATTGTGAGCACTATACAACAGCTATACAAAAACCATACAAGTGTGATCATGGATGTGCTCATAATTTATTATACAAATAAAGCTCATGTCATAGTTTGTCATACAAGTTTATCCGCGCCATAAGTGATATATGGTGTATTTAGATCTAAGCGTACATTAGCGGAACGGAAAAAAAATTGCGTTGGAATGAGAGAGACAACTAGTACTTTTCTCCCTCTCGTACCTTCGCAAAATCTCTCTCCGCGGGTGAAACATCGCTCAGATCTGAATACACCTATATTGTCACGGAATATTCTTTCCAAACCAACGAAGAAAACGTTGACATGCTCATTGATATACAGCAATTCTTCGCCAGTATAATCAAATTTACTCAACAGCATTGCAGCACTGTATGAAAGTCATTTGAACCACTCGAAGAAACATGGTTGCCAGTGACATTGCCAAAAGATTCCTCAAAAACCGTGCTGCTGTTTTGACAGAAATTTTCTTTGCGCGTCTCTATCAACGTCTCTGGTTGGTGGGCGTTTGATGTGCGCCGAAGTGTGTTTCTGTGCGTGTTAGCACAATGTGGCAGAGTGACTTACCCCCTGGGTTATACATACATTATAATTACTGCGTATTGAAAGACAAGTGCGTGTTATAGTCGCTATATTCATAGCCTGGCGGGTAGAATCTCGGTTTCCAATTGATCTGTCAAATAGCGGAACCAATTGAGCAAACCACGACCAACAACAGAAAAGAGCACATCAGCTATTGCGAATAAAATTTCGGAAACCGTTTTCTCGTGACTAAAGGCTCACCTACACAAACTAACGCCATCTTTAGGTTGTGGAAATTTTCCCCTATCCGATGATGCTGGTAATTTACCTTCGATTGGCGAGGAAAAAAATATCAACGTTTTGTTTATAAAAGTTGATAGTACCTTTTCAATTGAAGGTCTACAATATATTGAAATGGTTCCGCTTTTTGATAGATCGAAATTCTATCAGCCAGACTATGAATATAGCGACTAAAGTGCGTGCCCCTCGGGCTACAATCAATGACAGAACGCAACCATATTTACACGAAACGAAAAAAGTATCTGGCATTCCACTTACCTAAAGTCCTCTAGTTAAAGTATGGACGACTGTCACCACAAAACTGAAAAAGCTGTTCCACTCGAGCAAAGCGGTGCATTTTAACGGTTCGATTGGAACCGCTTTTGACAGACGTCCAAACTTTTACTGTAGGGCTTTACATTTACCCAGATCGAATTGGCATACGGAAAATTCATTTTCAGTTTAAATTTTCTGAATATTGCTTAAGTTTAACCAATAATACCAGTATGATGACATGAAAAAACCAGTATTCGGCAATGGGCTTAAGGTCGATACAAAAAACCTGTATTTGCTATGCGTTTTTAACCCTTATGTGCCGAGTACCCCGTCATGCACACACTACGAAAAAGACATGTAAATTTAAGTGCCCTGAGACCGACACATGCAAGCGGCCCTTTTGACATAAGAATCAGTTGAAAAGAACGAGAAAATCAATTCAATCAAACGCATTTTTCGTCGAGTTACATATGTTTCAGTTTCCGGACACTTAATTTTACATGCCATGTTTGTCCATGATTTACGTCAAAGCTGAATTACGTCTCGTGTAAAAATAATAATTTTTAAGTGTGCACATAATGGTTAAAAATTCAGAAACAACATTCAGGCTCGGCATTTGAAGAAAACTCTCTGAATTTATGGTCATGATAATTTGAATTTTTTATCTGGGCAGTAGATGTATTGTAGAACAATTTTACTGAAGAAAGTATATGATTGATTATCTCTAAAAGATGATGCTCGACGGATGATTCGCCATTTTTACGACTTTCTCTCAAATCTGACCACTTCTTTCCGTTTTCTCTTTCACCCAGAAATTTCATCCTGATGAAGATTCTATTCTGCTTCGTACTACCGACCTTCATACCGTGGTACTTCCTGGGCGAAACGTTCGAAATGGCATTCTTCAGCCAGTGTTTCGTGCGCTACGTGCTAAGCTTGAACTTCACCTGGCTGGTCAACAGTGCTGCACACATCTACGGCAATCGGCCCTTCGACCAGTAAGTTGTACAGCCTATTCTACTTTCCGAATAGATGATTAATTAGAACAACTATCCCACAGACGCATCCAACCGGTGGAAAACAAGGTTGTTTCCATCGTGGCAATGGGTGAAGGATGGCACAACTACCATCACGTGTTCCCATGGGACTACAAGGCAGCAGAGCTGGGCATCTATTCCGTCAACGTGACCACATTCTGGCTGGACTTTTTCGCCAAAATCGGTTGGGCGTACGATTTGAAGGAACCATCGAAGGAGCTGGTTCGCAGGACGATTGAGAAATATGGTAAGTTGTGATACTTTTTGGGTGTGGAGTTGACGAGTGATTCTAATCGGCAATAATTTCAACAGGCGATGGAACTCATCTGGAGATTTCGACTAAAGACCACATTGAAGTCCCCGATCCAGAGGTAACCAAATCGCGCTAGGCTGTATAGGATAGGAGGAGTTTTATCTGCAATCATCAGTTGTGATCGACCGAATTAGTTTTCAGTCCAAGGGATTGGCTATGCTGAACCAGATTTTAAAATAGATTAGAGTCGCTGAAAAGGGTCCCGTTGGATGCAAATGTTATTTAAAAATGTAAAACTATAATTAATTTTCTGCATGATAAAAGCCATGAAAAACAAATTATGTTCACCAGATGTTTCCTTATTGGTGAGAGCCATCAAATAGAGGATGATTGAAAATTCTTGTTTTTTTTTTTATTATTTCCCAATAATTCATTAAGACGCAGATACCTAATCACTGTGAAATTCAATACCCGGTGCCAATGTAATACCTGCTGTAATGCTGATGAAACACTCCCTTGGTAGATTCACTTAACCTCCAAGTGCCGTCTAGCGTGGCTCACACAAACTTCCAAAGGGTAGTTTTCCTAAGTCAAACATTTATCGGAAATTTAATCTATCTCTAACTAACTTTCAACGCCGAAACTTGCCCAAAACCAATCAAACAAACCGAAACGACAGCAGCGACATCGTTTAACTACATACGACACCATAAATGTTCAAAAGAGTAGTGTGACATCAACGCTCACACTCGTAACGAACCCCGTCTTCCGTAACAACACAGTTGCATCTAGTCAAAAACAAGACAAAAGAAAATCAGTGTCTCGTAGTTTTAAGTGACCACTGACCATGCCGGAAAAAGCCAAAATTTCGTAAGTTGCACTTCGTGTGTTTCTTTTTTTCTGTCTTAACACTATTTTCAGAGATTGAGTCAAGCGTGAGATCCTCCACCGAAAACCTATATACTTAAGTGAACCTTCATCTGAGAGCCCAAGACTAAGCCAGTCGTGGTTGCCACCGTGGTTCGTTCGGACAGAAATTTCCTACTGCGCTGCATGTTCTGTGGTGCTGTGCAGAAACATTAAAAACCCAAGAAATAGGACTACTATCCAAAACGTCAAACCGGATTTTTTTGGCGACCGAAACGGTTGACCTCGTTCGTTAGATACTTCTCGAAAAGAGACCGGTTAATTAAAGCCATTCGTCGCGAACTATCAGTCGACAGTTCGCGCAGAGGATGAGCCGTGATCGGACGTGAAAATCGTGCTTGAGGAAAAGCCTGGTGGTTTAGATATTAGTATTTGTTTTCGGTTTTTTAGTTCGGATCAGGATGACGGTTGCAAGTGCACCGAAGGCACTCCTGAAGGCCACCCCATTCAATGACAATCTGGTCAAGATGAAGGAAATTATCAGTGACGCCAATAATAACGATGCCGCGATGAATGATGATAAAAGTGTTAGCGACAAGGATCTCGATCGGTACATAAGCCATTATCAGGAATGGAAGCAGTCCGAGTCCGGAAAATGGATGCAAACTCAAGTGGAACGTATTCTCGGGCTGAAGTTCGATAATGAAATCAAGTGGAAGAATGTGGCCATGATCGGTGGATTGCATCTCATTACGATTGCGCTGTTCTTTGTTTACGTCTGGGACTCAACCATTGTCACGTGGGTTTGGGGTAAGTACCATCATTATTCCTTTCTAGCAGACGATCATCAAACATAGTCGGTGGTAGAAGAAGCTAAATAGAACCGGATCTCTCAAGGCGAAAAGAATAAAAACAAACTTTATAGATACAACACGTGTGACGTTGTCGTTGGAATCCAATCCACTCAAACATAATTGATTCAAAAATTTACGATCTTCTGAAATCAGAAATGATGGCCGTTTTTTTCCCTTGAAAAACAGGATTGGGTTGGCCCGTTGAAGTTTGTTCGAGATTATTCAAACTAGGGTTAATGTCCCTGATGTTGGCCTCAGAAAAAATTATGTAAATTTGAGTGCTCTAAGACTGACATATACGAGCGTCAATTTTAACATAAAATTGAGTCATAATAGACACGAAATTCAGCTCAATCAGCTCAGCTTCAGCTCATCCTTTATGTCAAAGATGGATTCCGTCACGTGTAAGATTAGGTGTTTCTGAGTGTGTACATTTCGAAGTAAAGCATTTATCGACAAATGTTCACATGAAAACAAAAATATCCATTTATATTGTCCAGATGACGCATTGTTCTAAGGAAAATTGAAGAACAGGAGATTTTTAACGATGCACGGTGGGACTATTCTGAAAAAAAAAGACCGCCAATACCTTTTCTCTCATTTATCGTTGTTTTAAAGACTTGCCCAACTAACAATTTTAGCTGCAGACTAGCGTATACAGCCGAAAATTGCCTTATGCAGCTAATTTTTGTCTGTATAAGCTGATCTGCAACTAAAATTGTTTGTTGGGTGGTGTCTTGGAAGAAGTTTCTCGTAATAATGATCCAAGCCTTTTGAAATAGTTAATCATTTTGTCAAGCTTCTGCATTCATGTTCCATCAGATGTCACTGCTGTTGTTTGCAGTGACATCTATCGGAAACTACACACAATCTGTTTTCCGTTAATTGTTAACAGAGGACACTGCAGTGCAAAACTTGTCTGGTACCTCTATATATGCAATTAGATGAATATTCGAAGTCCCTCCCTTTTTACACATTCTGCACACAAAATAGCTCACCCCTCATAGAAATTCCCGCCGAATTCTATTAATGGGGTGCGACAGAAAATATCTTTTGTTCAGAATATGTAAAAAAAGGAGGGACTTCGAATGTTAATCTAAATGCATATAAAGAGGTACCAGACATGTTTTGTAGTGTTAGGTACTCTATTTTGAAATCTGTGAATGGGAAATCACAAATTGACTGTCATCAAAATAGGTACATGACATGTTGATAGGTTGAGCTAGTGAGAGAGAATTTTCTTTCTCAAAGTTCAATTTTTTCAGCTCTCTGGAGACTGGTATTAAAGCAGGTAGAACTGAATGGGGAAAAATCATTTTTAATTTAATTGTAGCTTGTTTAACAATAATTTCCGGGAAAAAAGTGAACGGCAGAGTCCCTGACTAAATTATGCAGGTTGTCGTTCACTTTTTTATCTGAATATGCACCGAAAGCGTATTATTCCCACTGCTCTCAATTTCTATATGAGGAACAGCGCCATCTCTGTGGAAAAAGACCGGACGATATGATTGATTACCAAATTTTTATTAAGCTGGTATTACACTTGCAAAAACTATTTTTTACTGGTTTGAGATAATAGCTTTATGTCTTCAGCTATAATGTAGAAAAGCAAATTTTATGAAACTTTGCTCAAGACACCAAGCTTCTATAGGCCTTTTAATGGGAACTTACGATCGATTCAGCCTCTGGTGGTGAATAGGAGAACGTTAAAAATAGTGTTAGCAGAAATTTTTTCCTTGAGGCATAGGAAGCGGAACACTTTTTTACTTTTCCTGATAAATTGATTCATCTGAGATGCTCCAAAACTTAATCTACAGTTGAAAAATTTAATTCTGTAACATTTTTGCAAAGCTCCTGCTAGTGTACAGGAATATTTTTGGTACAAATCAGCTCAGATCTGTGGAAAATCGGACAATAAGACAATTACCGATAGAAATTGGCAAGATTTTTAATGAAAAATGCTTTAATTTGCGTTGTGAAAAATAGTTATTCTGATGTAAACAAACGGTTTGGTAGACGTTCCTTCTCGAACTCACGTAGCGCACTCTACATTGATGGTGCATTAAAAAGGCGTTTATCTTTATCTTTACAAGATTTAAGTGAACTCTTGACAGGAGTACCTTAAAATCGCTTTTTCGTATTTTTTTTTTTTTTTTTTTTATAGCCTCAACTACAAAGTTTTCAATATTCTCAAAATACACAACTTTGCTGAAGACAACGGTAGTCTATATAGCTTTGTTTGCATTGTTAACCTCTTAACATGGTTTCATCAGTCATGATGTGAAGTATAAACGAGCCAAAAATCTCAATCGAGTCTGGTCAGGCATTTAGGTTTTGTCAGTAATTTGTTTCTATGCTTTTGTTAGTAAATCGTATTTGTATTTTCATTGTCCAATGTTAAGCTGGGTTAAGGCAGGGCAAGTCAATTGATCAAGTCAGTTGAATTCAACTGACTTGAACGCGAATTGAACGTGTAAACCATGCCATTCAACTGACTTGATCAACTCACTTAAATTGAAAAATGTTGAGCCAGGCTCAACTTTTCAAGCCAATTGAATTCAACTGAGATGATCAAATGACTTGCCTAGTCTAAACCCAGCTTTAAGGTGTAAGTTAATTCTTTTCCGTTGATACTGAATCCACACCCGATTAAACCACACCCAAATTCGAAATGCACCAATTCCAACAAGCATTGCAAATTAGAAAAATGGGAACTATTGAAATTTTGAACATATTCGTAAACACAATATTATTATAGAGGTAACTCTAAGACTAGAAGGTCCGGAAGAAACGTGCTCAACTTTTTGGCTCAGCTCTGGTACTCTCTTCGGTCCCAAGCAAATCGATTCACCCCTCGAAACATAGGAAAATCCACTAACCCCTCATTTTATCTGTCAAACTTTCATAGCGAATCAAAACAAACATTGTGTAGTACTAGAATTTCGACTAGAATGGGGTACGTTAATCGTTTGCTTGGGACCAATAGGCTAGTCAAGTAGTGAGCCAATTTAAAATCGTTAGTTTCGTATTGATTGTTGATATTATTGTTTAATTATAATAATTCTACTACTGAAAAGACAATTTCAATTGCAACATTCCAAGTTCAGGGTAGTCCTACTAATGCTCAGGGAAGTCTTGCCGTAGTTCAGGGAAGGCCTGCCGAACTTCAGTGAAGTCCTGATGAAGTTCAGGGAAGCCCTGCCGAAAGTCCTGCCGAAGTTCAGGAAAGTCCTTCCGAAGTTCAGGGAAGCCTTGCCGAAGTTCAGGGAAGTCTTGCTGACGTTCAGGGAAGTTCTGCGGAAATTCAGAGAAGTTCTGTTGAAATTCAGGGAAGTTCTGCCGATGTTCAGGGAAGTTTTTCCGAACTATAGGGAAGTCCTACCAATGTTCAGAGAACTCCTGCCGAAGTTCAGAGAAGTTCTACCGAAGTTCAGGGAAGTCCTGCTGAAGTTCAGGGAAGTCCTGCCGAAGTTCAGAGAAGGGCTGCTGAAGTTCAGGGAACTCCTTTCATTTCAATTCTTGGAAATCAGGGAAGTCCTGGTGAAGCTCAGGGAACTCATGCCAAAGTTCAAGGAAGGCCTACCCAACTTCAGGGAAATCCTGCCGTAGTTCAGGGAAGGCCTGTCAAAGTTCAGGGAACTCCTGCTGAAGTTAAGCGAAGGCCTGCCGAAGTTCAGGGAAGTTCTGCCGAATTTCAGGGAAGTTATGCCAAAGTTCAGGGAAGTTATGTCGAAGTTCGTGTTATCTTTAAAAAATACTTAGATATATCAGAATACCTTCATCAAAAAGGATGAAATTTTCACAGAATACCATGAAATACTTGTGAAAATCGAGGATCGTATTTTTTTCCTTGATTTACTTTCCGTCGATCTTGTTTTCCGTGCTGAGCACCAATGCTTCCGACGCTAGGGAGGCAGCTCCCACACCTGGACCCTACCTATTGACCCATCAACCCATGAGCAGGGGACCAACGCACAGTGGTCCAAAAGCGCCAAAACGTGCGTTTTTAGTTTATGCGAAAATGGTCCATTTAAGCCACATAGTGTCTTCGGAGAAGTTTGTGCACTCAAAAAGCCCCTTCTTTTAAGCTTAGCCATTTCATGATTAATCCACCTTGCAGGGAGATGAAAAATTTACTTTTTTTTTGTTGGTCGAGATAGCAAAATGGTGTCTTGAGCAAAATTTTAGACAATATTAAAACAAACATTTTTGCTCCAAACGTCAACCCTCTATCTCTTATTTTTACAGAGATATGTCATTTTTTTTGTGCGAGCCTTCAGAAAATCAATTTTTGCAAATAACTTTTCAGGAAGCAATTTTTTGACATTAGCATGTTCTACACTGATGTTTGTTTTTTTTTTTAAATACGCCATTTTGTCTTGGGAAGCAAGTCCCTATCTTCAATATTTCTTGAGATCAGTGTTGGGAAAATATCAAAAAATCAAAACTCACCAACGCGCAAGATCACGCTTGATTTTCGTAGACAAAAATCAACAAGCAAACAACTGCGGTTGATTTTGCAAGCTGTGATATCACAGCTCGGAATATCAAGCTAACAAAACTCACCAACTGCTAATCTCACCAAACTGTGGTGAGATTGAGGTTAATGATTTTTGCTTTACACACGAATGCAACCGAAACTTCCATAACGGCATGCAGCAGTCCCTTCGCGTCTGCCATCGGTGAAGATTAAAAAGAGATAGCAAACTATGCTTTCTCTTTCTAAGAAAACGATGTGCAATGGAATCATTTTTGTGTCGAGTCAACTCTCAGCTTAATTTTTGCACGTTGTGAATAGTCTCGCAATATCAAAGGAGCTTATAATATCAATATCAAGCATGATATTTTATTCCAATATCACGCGTGATATTGCGAGCGCATGAGTCCGGAAAAATATCAATTGATTTCTGATTTTGCCAACACTGCTTGAGATATTCAAGGTTTTGATCCAAAATT